CCATCCCTCCGTCCACACCCCCATTCATCCCTCCACCCACCCATCCATCTATCCCCCATCCATCTATCCCTCATCATCCATCCTGCCCCCTTCCCTCTCTCCTTCTAACCACCTGTCATTCATGTCAGGAGAACCACAACCACCCCATGAGGTGGCTGACATCTTCTCCTCTGTGCTGGGCACAAGGGAACTCTAGAAAGAGGGAGAGGCTTCCCCTTGGAGGTGCATCAGAGATGGTTCTTGAACGAGGAGTGTAGGGCTCACCGGAGAGGGAAGCTTGGACAGGCAGTGTGAACAGCAGGGGCAGGAGGCCCAGTGAAATCAGCCCAGCGCGTGGCCCTGCCCACGCGGCCCTGCGTCTTCTCACAGCTGGGACCACCGAGCGCACCAGGGGCAGGTGGACGTGCCGGTGGGGATTCCGGATACCCGTCGTTGCCTTCTGGCTTTTGTCGTGGACAGAATGCATGTGGAGCCAACGGTGCCCACACGGCAACATCAGAGAAGACACCTAGCGGTCTCTTTCTGAACGGACGGTACACGGAGAGCGTGGCCGGCGCCATCCTCCACGGACTGCCCGCGACAGCAGCACGGTCAGGATTCACCTTCACTGGCGCGGACAAGGCACACGCAGAAACCCGCCAGGCCTGGCCTCGTGGCTCTGCCCGCGGCAGAGGCCGCGTCCCCAGGGCAGAAGGAAGACGCCCTTCCTTCCCGTCCATCAGAGGGGCCACCTGTCTCAGGCAACAGCTCTGCCTTGGCGAGGACTAGGACGCTGGTGCTGGAGGCGGTGCCCGTGCCGGGGGAAGGCCGGCAAACCGATCCTGAATCCCCACACGCTTGAGCCTTGGTCCCTCTGCACCCCACCCCGCGTGCTCCCTGCCCCACCAGGACGCGGGCGCAAAACCCGGTTTCCCGCAGCCTCGCTTTGGAAGGTTCTCTGGTTTAATCTGACTTTCTCCTCCCCCCTGCCTCCGCAGGACCGACTTCCAAGCCGCACAGAATCTCGGCGGAATCCACCCGTGATGGGCAGGGGACACCTCGGGCCTTCCTGCACGCCGGTGTCCCTCATCACGGGGCAGCCCGGCCACCCGGCTGGGTCGGCGTCCCTCTGCCAGTCCTGCCATGTGGCCACACGTGCCCAGGTTGGTGCACACTGACTGTCACATCGCCCCCCATGGCTGGCCTGGCGCTCGGGCTCCGTGGCGAGCACCCTGTGGGCGCCATCGGGGGGAGCAGTGAACGAGTAAGTGGGGCCTAGCAAGCCAGCGCCCGGCGCACGAGTGGGCAAGTGACGTGATGCCTGCAGGATGCGGGTGTGCAGGACCACATCCACCCCGCCCCGGGTTGCTGGCTGCACTCTTCCCCTGGAGCATCATGGAGCCCTGGACTCTGAGACAGCCGGCACGTCCCCGCCCCTGTGCTGGCCTTGCTCAGGGCACACGGCAGCGTCCCCTTCAGTGAGGCTTCCCCCACGACCTCTGCCACTGGGGCTTTGACTGTCTGACCCCCGGGGTGGGAAGGAAGGGGGCCCGGTGGAGCAGACACGGAACGACCAAACCTCCTGCCCCACCTTGCTTCCCAGGGCCACCACCACAAGGGGCCAGAGCAGAGGACCCGAGAGGGCACAGGCTGGAGGCCGAGGGAGAGATCTGGCCAGAGAAGAGAGGAAAAAAGTCTGATTGGAATGTGAAGTCTCTTTTCCACACCGTCCTGTGTCCTCGGTCATTGACTCGCAAGCGACACGGGACCACCTGGGCTACTGGCCTCAGAGACACAGCGACACACATGCATGTGCACGTACGTGTGTACGTGAACGTGCGTGCCTGGTACCTGTATGCGGACGTATGTATGCACGTATATAGATATGTGAATGTGTACAGTTGTGTGCAAGTGTATTTGTGTGTGCACGTGTGCACGTATCCATGTGTACATCCGTGTGTGCATATTTGTATATGCACACGCACGCCCACATATAGGTACATGTACACATAGTGCACACGTGCATGTATCCACATGTACATCCATGTATGTTTGTGCACGCACACATGTGCACACACACAAGTATATGTATGAGTATGCATGATGCACGTATCCATGTGTATATCTGCGTGTATGCACACACACGCATAGAGGTATGTGTACACATATGTGCACACACACATGTATCCATGTGTACATCCATGTGCGCACGTTTGTGTCTGTACACGCGTGCATATAGATATATGTGCATGCGTGTGCACGCGTGAAGGTATCCGTGTGTACATCCATGTGTGTGTGTACGTGTGTGCAGCCCACCACCACTAGAGGGTGTGCTGGTCTTGCTTTTGGAGGGTGGGTGGGGGACTCTCTGGGCCCTGAGTGGGTGGGGGGGAAGACCACCCCCCCCAAGGAAGAAATGTGGGCAAGGCCCCAGCAGAGCTGGGCCTCCCGGTGGGCGGGGCTCTGAGACCCGGGCCAGCTCAGCCCTGATCAGGGTTTGCATCGCTGTGAGGCTCCCCGGCTTGCAGGGGGTGGGAGGCACTCAGCTACTATGCTGCTGCTTATGTTTTAGAAAGGACATTCTCAGACCCAGGAATGTCGTCTTTTTGCGGCACCAAATCCCCTTCTGGAACGGCATTCAGAGGCTGAGGAAGGCGGCCAGTCACCTGGCGTCCTTGGACACGATACCCTTACATAACCATCCCGTC